CGGAGTCCACATGCAGAGGGATCTCTGCTCCATTTTACATTGTGCAGTTCATGGCCAGTCAAATTAACAAGGGCTAGCCAATAAAAAAATACACATTTTTATCTGTAGAGAACACAAAACCTACCTCTTGTACAGTATACAGAAACAGTAGAGGAATTTCATTTTGCCCAATAATGTCTACCATTACCTTGAGGAAGGAGGGCAGTCTCTTCTTATGCAAGAGAAATCCTAGTCTAATGTCTGTGACTTGGGGATAGATCCACAAAAGGACTTAAGTGTGCTGCAGGCTGTAGGCACTAGAAGGGCTGGTTAGGTTAGATACCAAGGAATGGGAAATGCAAGACACATGGAATCAAAATTTCCCAACACTCAGCAAGGATCTGCCTATGTTTGCCATCAGGGAAAAGCCATTTGAACAAAAAGCTGAACCTACATCCTGCAGAAAGAGTGAGGTGCTTTCTCTCATCCACTGTGGATTTGCAGCTGTGAACTTTTTTCCATGGTGGGGAATATGATCTGCCCCCATCCCAGAGTCAGGTTTACTCATCAGACAATTTAAGACTGAAATGCCTCTTATTCTACAGGGGACTGAATTCAATATTCCATTCTCCAGGAGGGTGTTCCAAATGCAGGGCAGTCCCCTTTCTATCTGTTAAAACTATTCCACTAAAAATTATCTATCAGGTAACTTTCCTTTTGCTAGGAAGGTTTTATGAAACAGGTTTCTTGCTCTTGCTGTTGGGCATCCTGCCAACAGCCGTAAGTGCACAGCTCTTCTAATATTGCCAAGATTGGACTGGGCCCACTCAGAAGCAGATAATTAAAGATATATCACACCACAGACTTGAGATATGATTACAGGTTACAAAAATGTGTAGTGGGTTAACTTAAGTAGTTTTATTGCTCACTAAAAAACTACATGTGGCCATCGAACCCTGAGTACACACTTAGTAACTAAAATCTGGAGCTCATTCTAACTTAAAAGTTCTCCATTACTATGGCTGTACTGACATAATCAGACTTAGATACCAGTTAGGCTGGAAGATTTGAGAATCGGTGTATTCAACATGCATGTTTAATTACCCTCACTGGTCTTAGTACTTCTGTGGATCTGTCCCTCTAAGTCAAGTGTTAGCCTAGATATTAACCCAAGGTTGAAAACTTTTGCTTTAATTCTGGGGGTATTCATTTAATTTCCTAGTGAACCTGTGATGGATTTCTGCTGTTAACTCCTAACCTTTAAATCCTAAAAATACACACATGGAATAAAGGGAATTAATACTCCTGAGAGGAGATAAGCTCCTCTGTTTCCTTACATATAATATACAAAACAGAACCTAAGCAAAATCCAAGGTTCAAAGGAAGTCCAGAGAGGGGGTTGTGTCACTGTAAAATGTAACAATAATTTAGTAAGTAAATAAATAATGCTTATTTACAATCTTTAGATAGAAGAAATAAATGAACAAATAAGGCGAGAGAAAGAAGAGGCAGAAGCTCGTATGCGCCAAGCAACAAAGAGTTCAGAAAAGTCAACCACTGGCGGTGGAGGGGGAAGCAAAAATTGGCCAGAGGATGATTTACAGTTGTTAATTAAAGCTGTGAACCTCTTTCCAGCAGGGACTAACTCAAGGTACTTCTCGAGTTTGGTGCTAAAAGTCATTACTAACAATTTTTAATTAAATAACAAGCATAATAAAACATATTTTGAGATCATCCCAAGTACTTTGTTAGTATAAGGACTTCCTACACATCTTCCTTTTCCTTGACTCGAAAGCAGCCAGTGGTTTGTTTTTCTTTGGTACCATGCTCTGTGTGACACTGGAGTTAGCTCTGGCCTGTATCTTGTTTTCCCCCAGATTTGGGCCTCAGTCCATTACCAGGATGGTGCTGAGGTCCTGTATGCACAGGGCTTACTCCACAGTAGGCTCCAGTCCTTGAAGTGGAGAACAAAACCACGCCAGTGACTGGGGTGCAGCTGGGTAGGAATAATAGCTACTTTCAGGGGCTCCATAATGAATGTGAGGCTGGTTTCTCCTCTACGTGGTAGAATTAAAATATCCCAAAATAGGAGTTAAGTGCACCAGCTTTCTTCAGGGGAGAGCCAGAGGAAAAGAGAAAGGCTAAGATTTACAGAAAGCAGCACTGGCACTCAGCTTACTGCTAAGCAAGAACAGGAGCACACTTGAAATACTTTTTCCCAGGAATGAAAAGCCTTCCATTGAGGATTACAAAGATTTCAAGCATCCATTACAAAATTTGGATCCTTACTGAAAAAAAAAAATAGCTGCCATACTCCATGGAGATGATACCAGTGACCGTTTCTGCAGCTCAGCACTCAGTCCTCAAGGCTCCTGTCTGATCAGCAGTACATACTGCCTTCCATTTCCTAAGAATCCACTAGAGTAATCTTGGGACTAGGGCTGTTCCAGCTCTCTCCTGTTTAAGCCCCTTTACCTGATGTTTAGGCATTTTTCTGGGGGGCAGTGGACACAGGGTTAGTAACTACTCAGCCCTTCAGTGCAGCCTTTAATGCCAGAGGTGTTTAGAGAATTCAGGATAACAGCAGCTAAGCAAAATTTCAGGGATTAGAGGTTTGCACTTACCTACATTCTGCCCCATCCTTTTTCTGTATTGGGAACTGAGTTGTTCACCCAAGCTGATTAATTCTTTAGTTAGTGATTGGAAGCTTTCCAGAACAGTTACTCTGGGATTTTGCACATATTTAAGCATGTTTGAACTTACTCAGGAGTTTATAAAAATGTGTACAGGAGCCTGACCATAGCTTATATGAAGATAAGGTATTATGTAATATGGTGATTTATCCTTTCTCTTCTTGCTGTAGGTGGGAAGTTATTGCCAATTATATGAACTTGCACTCTACTACTGGAATAAAACGAACAGCGAAAGATGTCATCAATAAAGCAAAGAGTCTCCAAAAGCTTGGTATCTATATTTCCTTATTTTTGTAGTAACATGGTCTGCCTGCTTCTGTGCAGCTGACTTTTCTGTGATTGGAGCTGTGTTTCTTGAGAAAATGCCCTGTACAGCCCCAGAAGAAATGTAGTTCAAATGGAGGATTTAGAGGAGCATTTATGTGATTCAGTGTTCTCATCCTAATGGCTCTTTTATAAGTCAGCAACTCACAAGCAACTCTCAGAAACTCTCAGTGTAGCTCTGATGTCTGGGACACATGAAATGCCAGGGCTCAGAGGGAGATATATGGGCCTCTCAGAAAGCTCCCTACAAAGAAAGGCATCTAAAATAAATGGAACTGATGAAGCTCTAGAGATTCTTTAAAAAAATTAATGGAATCCAACACCAAAGCAAGACACCTAAATTAATGTGGCTCATCTCCTCTTCAAAAATGAATATAAAAATGAAAAATGAAGCCTAGAGAGCTCTGGAATAAGGTTGCAAGGAAATTATACATTTCACTACAGAAGGAAAAAAAAACACACTAAATTTCTAAATTTTCAAGAGGTGTCTGCATTACAAACCACATGGTGGCACAAGGAGCACCTGGATTTTCCTGCCTCTCCAGCATGGTCATACCCTGGGCAATGCATGAATTTTGTGCCACAGCCAGCCCTTGAGAGAATAATCCCTCTTGATTTTGGTGAAGCTGTAGATTCAGGTTTAAGATTATATGGAACAAGTATTCCTCTGAGCACTATAAAGCAGGATAAGGGTTGGAGAATCTGACACTCTGAGAAAAGTTCCCTGGACCCTGAATGATTTTTTTCTAAATCTACCAACCTCTTTATAGTCGTTTTAAAGTAAGTAGAAATTGGATTTTATGATTTTATGATGATTGTAATTAATCTGCTACAGAATGTTATTATTATTATATTGAGCTTTAACATTCTTGCAATAATTATTTTCTTTAATGTCTGTTGCTCATAGACCCTCATCAAAAAGATGACATAAACAAGAAAGCATTTGACAAATTTAAAAAAGAACATGGTGTGGTGCCTCAGATGGACAGTGCTGCCCCCTCAGAACGATTTGAAGGTAAAGGTGAAAAGGGAGCCCTTCTTGTGCAGTTCTCTCCCCTGGGTCTTTTAGGAAAAAAGTACTTACTCAAGATTTGCTTACAAACTTTGATAGCAAGTAAGTGATCCGGTCTCTGGTGCCAGATTTGAAGTGTATTGTGTATACACAATACACCCCAAAACTTCATGGATTTTTAATCAACTATAGTAAGTGTTACAATATTTTCTAGACTTTTTTAAAAATATCTATTCTTGCTGTCATTTTTGCACTTAAAAACAGGATCACCTCTAGATTCATCCCCTTGGACTACAGAAGAACAAAAACTTTTAGAACAAGCTTTGAAGACCTATCCAGTAAATACTCCTGAAAGATGGGAAAAAATAGCAGCAGCTGTTCCAGGCCGCTCAAAAAAAGACTGCATGAAACGATATAAGGTAAGGTCCCTCACCTCCTGGCACTGGCACTAGTCCAGGTCTTGAGAGAATCCTTTGTTCTTACTGCTCCATGGCCTCCCAGAGACAGTATCTGACACAGGCAAAATGATGGAACCTTACAGGAAACATTTTCTTTTTGGTAACTCAACCCCAGAAGAGCAGTAAGGACTAAATGTTCCTCAGTGAAAATAGTGGCTCTGGAAGCTGGAAAGGAAAGTCAGTGTCAGGAAATTTGTTTTATAGTTTGAAGCAAGCTCTAGCAGATGATGAAGTCCTATCCGTAGCCTCCTCTAGGTGAAGTTCCTGGTATACAAGGATTGACCTTCCATTAATTGATTCATTTCTAAGAGAAATTGCTCTACAGCACTAAACTATGTAGACTTCTCATTACGTTGAGAACTAGAGTATTTCACAGTGATTATATGTAGTGTTCAAAACCACAGCATTGTTCACCGAGTTACATGTTTAGTTAAGTTTCTTTTTTCCCCACCTTCTCTTCAGGAACTCGTGGAAATGGTCAAGGCAAAGAAAGCTGCTCAAGAACAAGTGATGAATGCTACTAAAGTCAAGAAATGACTCTTACTGACAATCCTTGTTTTATAATAAAAATGCAAATACTGTACATGTTTCCATTCCTTTCTTCATTATACAGAAACAGAGGAGGGGCTGGTTCTTGACTTTTAATCTTCTCAAAAGCAACTCCAAAGTTTTAAACAGGGGTGTAGGTGGTTTGTTGGGTGTTTTTTGTTGTTTTCTTGGTTTTTTTAAAGCTAAAATATGTTGAAGTTCTTGTTATTCACTACTCACGAAGCCAATACATGCCACTGCAGATTTTGCTATACTCTGGAAGTTGTTCAATTGGACCTGGAAGTTAAAGAAAGTTGGCCATGACACATGCTTAACTCACAGCAAGTGGTCTGGAGGGGTTATGGGAGGATAGGAAAACTCATACCACATACCCACGGCAGCAACTGCAGGATGCTTATTATAGATGTACTTTGTGCAGATTTCTCTAATAGTCTGGGCATCTATAGCCTAAAAGGGGTAGAAGAGGCACCTTTGTTACAATCCCATCTTAAAACCATTTCTGATTTTAATTTTGTATAATCCAAGGGAGTAGGAAACAAAACACTTGGAAGTTTTCTCAGCTGAAAAAGAAATACAACTTCTATATTTTCTGCAGCAAGTAATTTTCTTGATGGCCTTTTAAAAGTTATAACACAAGTGCTACTTACTTCAATTCTTGCCTCAAGTTCTGGAATTGGGATTCGACGTTTGTAACACAGCATTTGTCTTCCAATGTCTTCACAGATTGGTGTGGACCCTAAAACAGGGGAAAAATGCTTCAGTTATTAGCTAGCCTACAGCTCCACAAAGAAGAAAAAGTTCTCATAAGTCTCACCATCAAGTTGTAGCAGCATATTTGTCTTTAAAAGATTTTTTGCTCGAGCTACTTCATTTTCTGTAACACTTGTGCAAAGTCTTATCCTGAAAAAGAGTTTAAATCCAAAGGCATTAAATAATAGTAGTCAGCAGCACATGATTGCCTGTGATAAGGAGTAGCGTAGGCATTACTGCACCTACCAGGCACTACTTTTCTGTAGACAAAGCTGGTAAGACAGCTTGGAAAACAAGCCATGGATACAAAGCAGCAGCCTAAAAGTAGGAGTTTTGGAAGCATACCAAGATACCCAAGAGCAAGATTTTTTTTCTTAGAAGACCTGTATTTCATTTTATTGAATATTTTGAGGCAAGTGCAGTCTGTACTTGTTATCTTGAGAATGGATGTTGCTAAGAAATAGGAGCCAAGCAGCTAGAGAACAGGTAATTAGCTATAAGACAATCCATTACTTCCTGGCTCCTCTCTTGGTGAGATACTCATTTGCCACACTGCCTATGGAACATTTTGTGAGGAGAGTGGGATGCATTAAATAGCTTAGCACTAAATTGTTGTCCCAGGAATTGTCTCTGTCTTCCCTGGTGCTAAGCTGCAGCAAAGAGAGTCAAAGTGATAACCTTTTTCTCCACGACTTAACAGGGATCTCATAGAATAATGGTATATAACAAGGGATTTATGTGATTAAAGAAACTCCTAATTTTCAAGATTTGTTTCAACTTCACCCACTTTAAATCAAGTGCTCTTAAATAACATATATGTGTTTTTAATAGCATCTGCAGTTCAAGCTTTACAGTTGCATCTATGGACCTTCAATACAGATTTAAGCCTCAGATTAATTAATATTGTCCAGAATCATAAGTTTCAAAATTCCATATGTAAGAGCTCAACTTTCCCAACGTATTCACTAGAGCTTTCTAACACCAGCACATGATACATTAAGTGCAGCAACTGCAGCAATTGCAGACAGGGTAACTGGTGATTGCACCTTCATTATTCTCATCCAGAAATACTTACTCTTTCAGTGGTGACACTTGCAGCTCGCAGGCTGTACAGTGACTGAGTAGCATACTAAAAGGTCTGACAATTTCATGACTTCTGTCATTTGCCAGTCAAAATTCCTGCTGTGTTTTCTTGTACAAGAAACAAAACCTACATCTTAAGCTATTCACTGCAAGTAAGGGTGCCAGAAACTGGATGCTGGGACTTGGCTTTGGGTGCCAAAGTTTAGAATTTAATGCATTTGTTGTTCCCAGGTGAGCCCAAGCAGAGAAAAATATTCTCTTTAAATACTTTATTTTTAAATCGTATTTCTCCACTAAAAACTATCTTTTCAGAGAAACAGTTGTTAGCTTACCATTCTCTCTGAACAAAGTGCACCATGTCCTGAATAGTGGATGGCTCACAGACCATATAGAGTCCCCACAGCCCTGTGTCAGTGTAGCAGGTGTTGAAGGACTGGAAACTGTGACACAGGTTACCATGGCAGGCAATCTGAGCAAGTTTACTGGACAAATTCTGCTGAGGCAAAAGAAAAAGATATTACTTTATGAAGTTTTTTTAAAGCTTACTAGTCACCTCCATGATTTCCCATTTTCATTTCAATGATGACAGAACATGCAGTAGTAGCTACAAGGTTAATTATCAGCTCTTCATTTCAACAGTTTCTTTACTTGCATGTAATATCACATTACAAAATAACCCCAGATTTGAGCCAAAATCATAAAGACACGTATGTTCAAGAAAGGGATAGTTAATTACTGATATCCGCAGGTTCTGATGACATACAGGTATAAAACATTCTACTTTCCATGAGGGCTGGCAAACCTCAAGTCACCTCTATATTGGTGGCTTAGAACCACTTCCTAAGATTCTCCTAAATCCTGGGTAACAAACTCTCAGACTCACAACTGGATCCCCTTTCCCGTCCTGGCAGTACCCAAGTCAGGGAGATCCCACCAGCCTCATTAAGAGCAGGATGGTGTTTGCAGCTTCACTCACCACTCCTCCTCCAAAGGAGCGATCCCAGTTGCCTATCAGAGTATTGGCTACCATGAGTGGGATTGTGTCCGGGTCTGCCCAGCCGGCTGCTTCGACAGCAATGGCCAGGTGTGCCAGGGGCATCTTGTCATCCCTGATCCGAATCTGCAACACAGCACAGCAGCTCTGCTGCAACCTCTACACGCTCAGGCAGAGGGCAAGTTAAAGAACAGAAAACACACTTTTCCATTACAGCTGGATTACAAAACATGCACTAAAATTAAAGCATATGAAGATTAATTTAACATCAGCCTTAACTAGTGTCCCCTGGGGCAATTTCAGATCGCTTTGCCAACATACACAGAGAAGTATTACAAGTCATTTTATGACTACCAGAAGCAAAGAAATCTGATGACATTGTAAAATCTGAAAGAGATGGGAATAGAATATGGATGCCTCAGTTCTCTGCCACGTCCTTTAAATGAGTGATTCTCAACAGGTGGAAATGCTCCAATACTGAAGTCAAGAGGATAAAAGGGAAGTAGGAGCAGGAATAAGGACATATTCCTCCAGAAAGTGATGAAGCATAAAAAGTGGTGGCAGTGAGGCTTATCCAAGAAAAAATGGGTAGTACTGCTTTGCAAAGCAGCTACTCCCCTGATGTCACTGGGGGCAAGAAAACTTTTCATGTGCTGAGTCTGTGGCAGAGCAGCCCTCTCTCTTCACCAGAGAGCAAATGTCAGGGGATTTGATGATGATGTCAGCTCAAAAAGCCACCCAGCAGCTTACCTCACTACCTGTGAAGCTACAAGGTGGCAGGGGTGGCAGTCCTCCTTCTGGAGCAGATGGCAAGTTACCAAAATGGCACTTTGCCAAGTCAAGTAGTTCATCATGAGAGACTCCTGAAGAAAGGTATTTCACATGCTTTGTGATGTTACTCTGTAAACAGTTAATTTAAATTGCTGCACAGTTTAAAGACTCAACCACGCAGTAATTTTTTGTGCCCCTGCTTTAATACCCCACTTTTGGATTCTTCACATATTCCCTTTATACAGAGCAAGATCATAATGATTCCCTCTTCTTAGTTCTCTTTAACAGCCTTCCATTAAAACTACATCAAATCAAGCTCTTTGCCCTCTTTCAAGCCTCAGTGCTACTTCTTGGCCTCTGCATTCCTTGCTATTCCCCTCTTCACACCTTCTAGGACCCTTTTTTCCTGCCCACATGGAAGAATGACTTTGGCCTTCAATTCACTTCTTGTTCCTGATTTAAGGTTTCTGGAATACTACTGACAGGAAAAGGGAACAAAAGCTCAAAGGGTATGAATGCACAAAACACAAGAGGGCTACAGAGGCCCAACAACAAACAGGACCTCCTGAACAATGGGTAATTCACCATGTTGTTCCCACAGACTCAGGACACAAGTTTCAAGCAGTTTCACATGATCAAGGGTGAGTATCCCATACTGACCTCCAGCAGCAGCCAAGACCATTCTGGGTCCTTTGTAATGTGTTGTTATGTACTCCACCAAGTCATTACGGTTTATGGATCTAAAAACAGGAAAGGAGACAGCACTACTGTGTCAGTAAAGTTTACTACAGTAAAAAGAGATAAGTGCATGTAACAATACAATTATCAAAACAATTGAAAGTGCTGCCAATGTTCAGAGCAGAGGCAGAAAGCTAAAATAAGGGTGACTTTCTAAAAAGCAAAAAGGAACTGAATAAAAAGTTTTTCTAGCTTCCTGAGAAGGAGTGAGAATTCCAACTCAGCCAGGTGGACACAGGATGCATTAATGATCTCCTTTCCTTTGAAAGCAGCACATTTAAAAGTCCTCTGATCTGCACTGGTCCAAACCAAAGAGCAGTGCAAACACTGTGTGCCAACGATAATACCTAATATGTGATCTATAGGAAAAAGAAGTATTTCCAATTTTGTGCCAGATGCATTTATAAGAAACAGGAGAAAAATACGGCAAAAAAACCCAAAGTCATGCAGAGAACATCTGAAGTTCACATACCCTTTGATACCTGCCTACAGGGAAACCAAGGCAATACAGGGGTTCTACTTACAATTATAGTCAGTGCAATTTTAGCTGCCCTCCCGTGTGAAAATTAAATCTGACACAGTTCTTTACATTTTTAGGTAAGTTTCTCAATATAAAAAAGCTACCACACATAATTAAAGACAGACACAGTTTTGGACATACTTGATATTTTCAGTGGGCCCTAAAATTGTCCGTCCTAGGGCTGTATTCTGGTAGGCTGTGGCATGAAGGTAATCAAAGACAACTTCCTGCAAATTGGTTTCAACCTCTTGCATCTCTCGAAGTATAACTCCTCGCTCACGCTCAATCTCTGCCTCTCCCAGGGTACTGTTCTGAATTATGTCAGCAAGAATTTCCACAGCTGATTGAAAATAGAGATGGAAATGAAAAAGTATTTTCAGATTACTAGAAAAATCTGCTTCCAAAAGTGAAACCCACCTCAAAGAGCAAGTGCTAATAAGACTAGCAAGAGGACAGGAAGAGAGAAGTCCAAAAGGTACGTTATCTTGGGACTCTGAAGAGAAAAATATTTCAAATAAAAGCTTCCCTGCTGGCTCCTTCCCAAAGCTGTATTCTCACATTCTTGTGAAATTCAAGAACAGACTTTTCACTGGGCAAGGAAGGGACTGTAAGACTGCAAAAGCATCATTCTGTGCCATCTCACTGGAAGCTGGATAAGCATGTTGTTCTTTACAGCTTTTCTGATGAATCAGAGCAATTACCTCTTGGTAAATCTTTTGAAAAAGCCTTTGCATAATACACAGTTTGTTCCCTGGACGTGTATGCGTTCAGATGAGCCCCCATGTTCTCAATCTCTAGTTCAAGGTCTAACTGAGATCTCTTTTTTGTTCCCTGAAATAGAACAACAAGAAAATCACATTACACCCTTCAAGTCATCTACTCATCATTACTACTTCTTGTTTGGGAAAGTCAAGATCAAGAGAAAGGAAATGTATTCTGCAAATAAAACAAGCATACTAATCTCTGCAAGTTTGAAAGTTGGATATAAATCCTACTATGCTCCCAAATGAAAGTTAAAAGCTGGCTAAAGAGTGACCGTGTGTCTTCTAAGACTACTATAAGAAGGTAAAAGTGAGTAAAAATTAGATCTGTGTAATCTATAGTTGTGTAACACTTACACAGAACTAGGATTTTAGCTTCATTTTCTAATGGAAACCAAAGTCTTAGTTGCCCATGTTATTTTTCTCATTTCAGTTTCAAAAATTTTTTTATACAATTCTAACAAAGTTTTCATCATTGATCTTTAAAGATAAATAACCTAAAAATCCATTATGTCTACATCAATCTTCACACTCACCTTGAAAGCCATATGCTCAAGAAAGTGAGCAGTTCCATTGTTCTTCTCATTTTCGTATCTGCTTCCAGCATCAATCCAAAGTCCAACCTCAGTTAAAAAAAAAAAAAGTCATTTACCCAGCTAACAGCTTTGCTATGTCTTTTTCCTTAAACAGAGCAGATTTTCAAGAAAAAGAAAATTTTGATCTTCACAAAAAATTTAATTACAAATCTACAAAAGCCTTAAGACTTCTATTTCCTGGCTTAAGTTCCAGGAACAGTTGCTAATAAATATTGAAATGCAAATGCAATTTAGTTCCACGAGGAAATGAACACACAGGAATAGATACAAAATACCCTTCCTTTTGTAAGTTACTTACTGTGCATGTTGAGAGTCCAGAGTCTTCAGAAGCTACTTGCAAGCCATTTCCCAAAGCACTCACCCTAGTTTCAGGGACATTTAGGATTACTTCTGTTGCCACTTTGGCAACTGTGTGCCTCCCTGTTCCAACATGCACACACTGGAAGGGAAAATCATCAGTCACACTCAGATTGTTTAGTTATATCCAAGGATGCTTTTCTGAAAAATGTATTGCTGAACTTAAGCATTTCTCAAAACATGCATTTAAAATGGAAAGACTCCAGGACTGCTATTCACCACTACTTCACATAAGGGAAGCAGTAACCTGAATCTGAAACAAACCCTGACAATAACTACAGATGAGGAGATGCATCTACTGCCCTCCAATCTGACACAGGAGCTGTTACTCTCATCAGCCAGCCACACTTGTTTCCCACTTCTGCCAGCAAGAGCCTGCAGGACCTTTACCATCTGGAATACTCCTGGGTACCAGCTCTCTAAAGTGAAGTGAGATACAGCCCAAGGGCCTGTGCCAGGACTGCAAATCCATCAGCCATCGATCAGAGCAGCACAGCCATGTGGTAGTTAAAGCACTTTAAATGAGAGCGGGGTAGAAAAGAAGAAAAGCTTACTGCAGTTTTTCAATAACAAGAAATGCAAATATGTATCCCAAATTCAAGCAAACAGCTATCTCGAAAACTGTGATTTCAAATAAAAAAAGATTTCTCTCCCATATAACTGCTCTAAACATGAAAGTACAAAATCCAGCTCTCAACCACTCTCCTCCTGTAATAGGTCAGATCCCTTAAAACTCACTTATTTAGGAATCACAGCACAATTCAAGTTTGAAGAGACCTCTGGAGGTCTCTAGGCCCACTTCCTGCTCCAAGGGGGATCAATTTAGTCAGACCACTTTGCTCAGGACTTTTTGCACCTGGGTACTGAGTATCTCCCAAGGGGGTGAGAAACTGCACAGCGTTCTCCACTGCTTGACTGCCACATATCCAGTTTTTCCTCTCTTGTTTCAACTTACACCCCTTGTCTCTCATCCTGCCACCGTGCCCCACTGTGACAGGCCTGCTTTTGTCTTCCTAACAACCTTCTCCGAGGTGCTGGCACAGATACTACTCTCAGCTCCTCTCACAGGTCCAGCTGAAGCCATGGCTTCTCCAGCCTGAACAAGGTCCGAACCCTCAGTCTCTCCTCGCAGGGCACATGTTCCAGCCCAGTTCATCCCTGCTGAACACCTCCAGCTCACTGACATCCTCCTCACCCTGCAGAGCCCCGGGCCAGTTGCCTCACACAAACTCACCACCTACTGCGCCTCCCGCCGCGACTACAACTCCCAGCGTGCCCCGCGCCCCGCGGCCTCCAACTCCCCGCGTCCCCTCAGCGGCAGCCCGAGCACCAGCGCTCGGAGCCACCGCGGCGCCCACGCTCCCCGCGCCTCCCTCCGTTCCGCTCCCTTTCCCGCCGCCTCACCCGCTGCGCCGCGCCGGGCGCTCGCACCAGGCGGGCGGACCAGGGCAAGAGAAGCCGCCGGGCCGCTGAGCGCGCTGCAGACGCCGCCATCTTGGCACCGCGGTGGGCGGGGCGGGACGGGGCGGCCTTCAGGGGCGCGCAGGCGCGGGGCAGTTCCAGCCGCCGCCGCCGGGGGGCGCAGCGGGGCAGCGCAAACCGCATTGCCGCGTCCCAGGGGAGGTGGGGACCGGGGAATGTCCCGGGTGGGACGGGACCCACAGGGACAGTCGGGTCCGACTGCTCGTCCCGGGAAAGGACCCACAGGGACAGTCGGGTCCGACTGCTCGTCCCGGGAAAGGACCCGCAGGGACAGTCGGGTCCGACTGCTCGTCCCGGGAAAGGACCACAGGGACAGTCGGGTCCGACTGCTCGCCCCGGGAAAGGACCACAGGGACAGTCGGGACCGACTGCTCGCCGTGCACAGGACCAGCGATCCCACCGTCTGTCTGAGAGCGTTGTCCAAGTGCTCCTGGGGCTCTGGCAGGCTTGGGGCTTGGTTTTAATGGTCCCGCTCTCCTCAGTGCCCCAGAGCAGCGCAGGAAAACGCCCCAAAGCATTTTCCTGCCGGTATTCCAGTACGGCCAGGTTCAGCAAACACAAAGCGCTGCCCTCCGGCTGCTCCGGGAGCTGCCGCGGGCGCATCCCTGCGCGCTGCGGCTCCTTCGGCTGCTCCGGCCCCTTCGGCAGGGCTGCGCTTCCTGCGGGACAGACCCGCTCCGGCTGGGGAAATCCCGAGGCTGGAATAACCTGGAGTTTTCTTCTGAGAAGTGTATGCAACAGAGCTGACTTGTCATGGATAGGAGGGCTTCGTGCACAGCAGGAAATTCAGCGCTCCGCCGGCGCTGGTGAACTGCCTCAGCTCCGGACACAGCGCTCCGAACTGCTGGGAATGCTCCCCCCCAGCTGCCAGCGGCTGGGAAGGGCTTGTGGGAAATGCTACTTGAAAGAGCCAGTTTTGGGCTGGGAAAAGTTCTGCAAGTGTAACAGAGCAAGCAAGTTCATTTCATTGCCAAGGATCGTTCCTGAGCACGTATGGAATGTATGGCTGTAGATAAATAGGTACAGACATGCAAGAAGCAGTGTTCAGTTAGACTTGGTGGTTAAATTCTTACATTTTTTAGGAAGTTTTCATTTGGCTAATCAAGCATTATCTCAAAAATGAAGGAAAACCAGGGTGAAATTCTGTTAATTGTCCCACAGTATGTTAAGTGACACAATGTAAAGAAATAAAAAAACACTTTAAAAAAGTAACCTGTACTACTTATGCTGGGGGAAAGCAGTGTTTCTGGGTATCATTTTCCTAACCCTGAATACCTCAGATGGTAGCATAGTGCTTCTGACACCCTCAGCCTCTGTACAGATACCACAAACCTTCCCCGTCTTGCCCGCTTGAAGAAGAAGAAAGCTGGGCTCTTGGCACACGATCTGGGGGAAGAGGTTGAAAAGGGTGGGAACTGCGGGTGTTTCTGATGAAAAGGAAGAGGCTGAAAATGGTGGGAACTGAGGATACTTATGCTCAGGATGAAACTGAATGTCTCCTGAAGCTGCCAGACAAGGTCCTGTTACTCAGAGGTGATTCTCGAGTGCTGTCAGAAGTGTTGCTCCCTTCCCCGTGAAATGTTACCAGTCACTAGCAGATTTTAGGTGACAAAATCTACCGTGACTCTTATAGGACACTGGGGATTGGTGGTGGTTCGCGGGCTGGCTCAGATGCTGAAGTGTGAGAAGGCTCTGAGATTTAGCTACTCAGGCTCCAAAACACGGACTAGTTTCAGAAAAATCTACTGTACTTTAAATGTATGGCTTTTGGGGGGTATTTTGTGTATATAGGCTATTTCTTACTCCCTTGGCAGTTCAGCATGAAATTGCACCGACTGCCCTAAAATGTTTGCACTGCCAGTTCATAAGCTCTGTGCTTAAACAGCAGCTTAGTCCTGCAGCTGGGCTTGTCCAGTTTCTGTCACAAGGACTGTAATTGCATAAAAATAGTAAACCCCCAAAGCAAAATACATTGCATAAAATTTAAAGTGAAAGTGATACTGTTATTAACACAAAGGTTAAAATATAAACCTAAATGCCAAGAAACAAGATGCTTCCTAATTTGACAATGATGCTTTGACCACATATGGAACTGTAGATCTCTTACTGAAATTGTTACTGTTACTTTGGTGCCTGTACTATTTTAGTGCCCACATAGCCTATGTAAAAAGGACCTTGTAGCTGAAAAGCATGCACATCATTTCATCAGAGAATTTACATTGGAGTCAAATTCATTTCCATGGAATAGAAAATCTAACCTTACATGAAACTAGCTACTTCTTTTTCTTTTAGTTTTGTTTCTCCCATTTAGCTAATGCATATTCAAAAGATCCATCCAGTTCCAGCATTTTTAAAATTTAATATAGAGCTCTGTCAAGTTGTAAAAGAAAAAAAGCAAAGCACCAAACTGTGCAACTGAAAATTAAAATTAAGCTTCTGTTCCATTTTACAGCTAGATCTAACTGATCTCATATGCTGGGATTTATCTCAAAGATGTTTTACCAGATTTCACTAACCCATTAGACATCCTAGAAATTTGAATCCTTGCTAGACATAGAATTACAGCTTAAGATAAACTGATTATCCCCATAACATGTCTCCTACTTAGCAAAATAGGAGTGTCTCATATGTAAATGTAATCTAAAATTTAGCATCCAGCAAAGGTTATTAGAGAAATGCAACTGTAAATTAAGAAATCTTATTAACCAGCTAAAATGCAATAAAATAAAACAAATATTGGTGTTCTAACAGTAGAAGCTGAATATGTAAATATGCACCACTAAACTTTTATAAAACACTACTTTTTAAATGGTTTTAACAAATTTTTTTATTACAATGAGATTATTTAGAAATGAGCTATTATAACAAGGAATGCTCACAATATCCCTCTAGTTTAGGTTGTATTATCTTCAGCTTCCAGATAGAGAAAATTAGACCATTCTTTATAGTGCTTTTGTGTCCAGTTTCAAACAACAGTGGAATAGAAAGGCAAGGCTAAAAGAACAAACTTTTATATAAATTATGTCCTTGCCATCAGCATGATAGATAGATAATTGCCTGCTAATTCCAAGATGCCACAGAGCCTCTGAGTGGATTATGTAGGTGAGGGTCTCAAGATGAAAATCTGGTTCTTTGAAATCCAGATTCCGGATCTCACCCTAAGCATGGGAGCTTTGTATTTCACACTAAGTAGCTATTTCAGATCATCATCCCTCCTAAAGAGGTGCCTGGAAAAGAACCAAATGGCACTTTCAGTTTTTAAGCTTAAAACCTGTCAAGAACTCCACTGAAACCAGTGGTAATGCAGAGTCTGAATTATACAGTTCCAGCTGGTTTTCTGATAAATAAGGTTGCCATGTTCATTACAGTGCAATATCAACCAAATGACACAGGCTTCTCAAAGAAAAGGCTGTTCCAGGAACTGTAGCTGAGGAGGTGCTTCACTATCAGCTCACACATAGGAGAGATTCTATATTACCCCACAGGAAAAAAGATGAAACCAGTGCTGGTGCCAGCAGTCATAGATCTAGCTTGTTGCTTCTAGAGTAACATTTCTACTTTATAAAACAATTCCATGTGGCAGCAGTGATACAAATGAGAAATCTGTTTATGCATACCTGATGTATGTATATATGTCAGCATATATACTGAGGCTGACCACAACACTGTGAAGCCAACACTTCTATTACTCTGAACTAGGATGACAATCTTGATAAGAGCAAAGAAAGCATGATCTTGAAAGGTTTTTCTTTCAATTGTATATATAAAGTGAAGCCAACACTTCTATTACTCTGAACTAGGATGACAATCTTGATAAGAGCAAAGAAAGCATGATCTTGACAGGTTTTTCTTTCAATTGTATATATAAAGAATTTCTTCTGAAATAAAGAATAAGTTCATATCAGCAAGACACACTATCACAATCAGCTTATTACAAAAGTACTTGGGAAGAACTATCCTGTTACAGGCTGATCCAGCCCCAGAGCAAGAGGGCACAGGAACTAAGCATTAGAACATCACTGCTCAGGAAAAAAGACCTTCAGAATTGCTGAAACCATCCCACAGTAAACATTAACAACTGAAATTGCCTTTGGCTAAACTGCTTAGTGCTGCGTTAGCTTTTTGTAGAGTCATCGTGTTCACTGTTTATTTACAATCTACTATCTTTTTAAAGCAATGATACAGTATTGCCTTTAATGAATATGCTGAAATACAGCTGCCAGGAGTTGCCTTGATATCAGCCAAGCAAGCAAAATTCAAACGAGCCTAAAAACATGGGCTCAAGAAACAGTACATTATTTTGTAGAAGAGTGTGTTGGAGGGCTTTTTGGGAATAAATCTGTTTTGAGAATACAAATCAAACTTTACAGACATTATGTTGTCTGATTTTCATGCCAGCTGTTCACTGGCATCTAGCTGATTATTTTATCAGTATTACCTAGAAGTTACCCTTCAGCTAATTAAATTGCAATAGCTTTTCTTTCCCATGGTTAACCATTGGGCAACAACTGCAAAGGCCTACAGGCCACTGACACTGGTCTTTTGTGCTCTCAAGCTGCAAGGAAGACTGTCTAAATTAAACATAGAGGCTGTTGGCTGAATTTATAACATTTCAGTTGCTCATTAACAGAGCACTCTTTTGAAGCTGTTGATTAAAAGCTTTCTTCAGGGAATATTATGGTATTCTGTCTGCATGCAGTTCTCCTTTTTCTTGTAAGTATTTATGCAGTGAAATAAGTCTGTAAGTGCCAGACAGCCCACTACCTGACAGCTGAGGGCTTTTATCAGAAAGATAAATGGAAAGAGTTTGGATAGCTCATAACACCAATTTTTCAAGAATAACATGTCAAACAAACAATTCTGCCTGATGCAGTAACTCAACAGGAAATTCCTGTGGGTAAATTCATCTGATTTAGCTAAACAGATAGATTTCTCCTTGCCCTTTAGACTCACTGCAGATTAAGGATCAGTCCTTTTTTATTGCTTTTATTTGCATTGTAGTGACACACAAGTGTCATTTCCACCCTTCCCTGTGACTATAACCACATACAGGTTCCCTGTTTTAGAGCATTTTTCTGATTTGATGGTGGATGAGTTTCCAAAACTCCAACATTTATTTCAGCCTTTTTCTCATTGTAAGAAAGGGTCACTTCTTAATTATTTTCTGGAGAAAATATTTTCTGAAGTCACCCGAGTCTCTGGTATGATTCAACTGAAACTAACACACTGAAAACTGAAAATAATGAAGTTACTGAAAATATTAGAATTTGGCACCTGTTCAGGCAGCCAAGACAGCCATCATTCTTTGATTCTCTGATTCATTCCTCCTCTGTTCAGCATTGTTCAGGTAGCAATGCTGTGGGCATTTTTCAACAATCTGTGGAAGAAAAGTAGATTTTCCATTACCCAAAAATGCTGCTAATGCTACTCATCACAGTTTACAATACAGTAAATGTACACTTACATGCTATTGTAGCATCCAGATAACTGAGTTTTCTCTTTTATTTCCTCTCTTAAAACCTGCTTTCTCACTCTTTAATTCCTATAATCTTACTAATGCTTAAGTTAGCCAACACAAACTACAGACTATGTAGTTTTACACTGATAATAATAGTGTGATTACAAACTTCCCCAAAATAGTCATTGATCCAAGGCAGGTTTTGTTTAGCTATCAGGCTTCCCTGTTGGGCTCTAACTATGGAAACAACATATATGAGCATTCTGTTTTACAGCTCTATCCAACTCCCTACTTGATTTCCCAGCTGATTGATTGCCATCATGTTGTAGACTCTCAGGGTTCATCACACTATTGCAGACTGGCCAAATTTGTGTCCCAACTCATCTCTCTGTGCTCTAGGGCCTCCGTTATGCTCATGTACAAAAGTTGTATCACTCATCACACCTCAGCTGTATAAAACTAGTCCTCTGTGCTCTTTCAATAGTCAGTAGCAGGAAACAGGCACCTCAGCTTTTGGTTTTCCTTTGTACTCTGGACACCTCTCTTAGGGCGGTTACTTAGAAATGTCTCCTCCTCCTCCCCACTGATTGTAGCAGAGTGAATTACTAGTTCAGCAGACTCAAACACCCAACTTCCAGGCAGCAACCCTCAGGCAAAACAAACCTTATCCTGAACTTCAGGCTAGGAGCTCATCGCATGTGTCTAAATATCCCTTATCTAAATATCAGATCCATATATTTTAATATATTAGAGGATATTATACAAATAATAAATGCATTTTCTCAAGGGCACAACAAGTTGAACTTACATTCTATAAGGGCCTACAGCATTTTAATGTAGGAGGCTGGAAATTTTGCAGCATCTTTATGTAGTTTTAAATACTGAGTGCTTGCCATGAATTAAATATAAATACAGTAATCACATGAGTATTCTTTATTTATTTTATATTACAATAAGTTTACTTTTTTTAACATGAACACATTCAAGGTTCAAGACTGTGTAGCAACTGGATTTTGTGCTGATTTTGGTATGATGAACAACCACAATGTAGAAGTTATCAAGGGAAAATCTAGGAGTGCTGACAGATGGTTGGGAAAGAGAAAGTTGGGGATTTTATAAACTGAGAAGCTGACAGAAGTTTGGAAATGTGGAATATCATTGGTCAGATATTTCTGCTCACATAAGAGGCTCTCTTCTTAGAGCTGATACTCAAACTTTTAAATTTCAAGTTAATAATCTGCACTTAGTTTAGTCACGCATTTCACTAAATGTAATTTTTTCAGACTGATTCACTAGCCTTTTTTACAGTCCTCTGAAGGAAAACAATTTCTGAAGCTTCTTAAATCAGCTGTGCTCTGTCCCAGATTGATGCCTTTCTCAAATCCTATTATAGTCCAGAATGCCATACTACCATTTTTATGGGAGACAGCTGCTTTACTAGTCATTTTCTTCCCTACCACTTTTCTACTTCTTTACCATTTTTCTCTGACTTCCAGATGTTATGCAGGCAGTGCAGTGCAGTAATTCCAAGAAAGCTTCCAAATATCTACTGAACCCAGACAGCGTGCATGCACAGGTTTTCTCTGTAGCTGATGTGCACTGTGATGCTTTTCCCTCACAAAAGCCATGCAACTCAAGGCTTGTATGCTCAGAAAATCACCAGGTTTGCAGTGCAAGAATTTCAGTGCAAGTGTGTTAATCAGTTGATTTGTAAACAAGCTGTTAGTTTGCAATGTCTGGAAGACAAATAAATTTACACAAACACATAGAGATCCAGTATATCTTAAATACATTTGCTTCCACGTTTGCCTTGGAACTTCACATGCTGACTGTGAGGCATGAGAGTACCTGTGTGTCTCTGAAATAATTTTTTTTTTTTTATTTGGAAACCGCATTTAACTAAGTATGTAAGAACTGAGTTAATATGAGAGGCTTAAGAGATCCACCTAAGAGGCATTTTCAAACACGACATGGTCTTCATAGCAGATAAGCTATAGTATGTCAAACGAAATAAGGTCTGGAATAGGAATCCAAGTCATTACTACTAAGTAGATCCAGCAGAATTAGGGAATGGGCAGTTACTCTCTAGCTGATTGCAGTTACTGCATTGATAGTAATGCATAGGGGTTGCACTAATTCAAGCATAAGCCATAATCTCATGTTTTTCTTACTATGCCTATCAGTCATCCTGCTGGTCTATTAATGCTGGCAGATGTACTTTTGTATTATATAATGTATTTACTTTATCCTGAAACATTCTCCCCAATAAAAAATAAACACAGAAAGCTTTAGAACTTGCTTCGAGCTGCACAGTGCACAAATTTTACAGCTATTCCTTTTGTTTTTCAACTTTTTTTTTTTTTTTTTTTTGGCCATATGATAAACCTGTATTTTCCAGTCTTGGCTTTCTAGCAGTGAAATTATATACTTCTCTATCTTTTCTTTTAGAATGATAAGTGCAGCATTAGGAGCAAGTTTTAGTATAATTATATATATAAGTATAATTTGATCATAAAGGATTTATTGAGAAAGTCTAAACACCCCAAATCTTCTTGGAGCTATTCCATTCCAGTATTTTCCAAAATTTTCAGTAGCCTGTGGATAAATAAATTAAAAAATATCTGGCATTCCAATTTTATTTCATCCATATAAGGTACTCATACATTTCTCAGAAATGTATGGATTGACCCTCTCTGTGTCTACATAAAATTTACCCCAGAGAGGTTTTGGACTCCCCATCCCTGATTGTGTTTGAGACCACGCTGGATGGGGCTTTGAGCAACCTGATCTAGTGTGTACCCACGCATGGCAAGAGGGTTGGAACCAGATGACCTTTAGGGTCCCTTGCAACCCAAACCATTCTATGATTCCACTCCCAATCATGTATATTTTAATAAAGACAACACATCTACACAATCTATATTAAAGCACTAGGAACTATGTGCATAGTTGAGATTTTTTGAGAGTTGATCTTTACAGCCATAGACTCTCAAGTCCCAAATCAAAGTTCAGCAGTCAATGAGATCTTCAACTTAATTCAGAGTACTTGCCTTTAAACAGATTACTTGACTTGCATATTATGGTGGCTGACACAATGAGAACATGGAATAGAATGGAATATTTCAGTTGGAAGGGACCAACAATGGCATGTAGTCCAACTGCCTGATCTACTCAGGGCTGACTGAAAGTTCAAGTGTGTTGTTAAGGGCATAGTCCAAATGCCCCTTAAACATAGTCAGACTTGGGGGCTGACCTCCTACGAACCCTGTTCCAGCATTTGCCCACCCTCTTGGTAAAGAAATGTTTCCTAATGTCTCCTTCTTTACCTCCTTGCTTTGACTTCTGCAAATGCTTGTGTGGGATGCCTTGCTTTCCTTTGTAAGTTAAAGAACAGACTAAGACATCTAGGTAGAAAAGGAAAACAACAGATAAAGACAACTTGGATAAATTAAATGTTCTAAATTATGTCAGCCTGCTAGAACCTGTAACCATTCTCTACTAGTACTCTATTAAGAAAGCAAATGTTTCATTTGCTCTCTAAATAAGGAACATGTAAGTTAAATAAGAGAGGAATTGTCAAGCACACCAATGGAAAAAAGGGAGAGTTCAAAATTCAGGGATTCAGGAAAGGTAGTTATTTGCCTTTTAACTACTACTACTCCTCTACTACCAATAACAACAACAACAACAGTAATAGTAAGTATTCCTAAGCATCTATACATAGCCAAGAGGAAATTATCAAGAAAATGGAGCCAGACTCCTCAGATTGCTGTATGGTGAGAGAGTGACAAGTAACAGGAATAAATTAAAATGTGAAAGGTTCAAGCTAAATTCACAGGAAAATATTTTCACCACATGTCAGTCATGCTGTGGAACTGGTTGTCCATAGAGCTTGTAAAATCCCTGCTCTTGCAGGTTTTCAAAATCCAACGGGATCGAGTCTGATCTGAACTCATAGCTGACCCTGGTTTCAGCAGAGGGTTGGACTAGGGACTTCCTATGATCCCCTGCAAATTAAATTATTCCACAATCCTGCAGTGATAAATAAGTAGTAATGTGGTTTTACCAGAAAACAACCTATTAAAAGCAACATTCTGTAAAAAAAACTACAACAAACAATGAAGAAATCTTGTGATTTCTCTCCAATGAAGAAACCACAGTAGAACCATGTAATTTGCAGAGGTATAGGAAATGTGACATGAGATAGGATTGAAAGAATTAATTTCTTTAGTCTAGCAATGAGAGGATTGAAGAAAGATATATCAGTTCTCAAATGTGTAGAAAGTATTGGAGAGATACAAAGTGTTTTTCATGTCCATTGATATGGTAAGAAGTAAAAGCCTTACATTGCATATTGAAGATTTCAGTTATATTTTACAAAAAGTTTTTGAACTGTAAAGAATGTTACACAGTGACTGGAGAAATCTGAAGAATCAGCATAACTGCAAATTTTCAAGGTCAGATTGACCAAATATCTATCAAGACCTGATTAGATAGAGTGGATTCTGCTCTGAAGCAAGAGGATAAACTGGAAAGCCCTTCCAGATCTCTTTTTAAATGATGTCTTAAGAAGCATCTCCATTGTCCTCATTACTAAATTGGCATAAAAAAATTAAAAAGTGTACCAGTGTCACCTCTCCAAGTTTTCTTAAATTATGCCAAGTATTTTTTTCTTTTCTACTTGTTAAACCCCTTCTTCCTTCTCTCTCCCCAACTTCATGTGCTGAGTATGATGCCATATAGTACAGAATATCCCTTTGTTCAGTTGGGGTTGACTGTCCTGGTTGTGTCCCCTTTCTAATTTCTTGTGCACCTCCGGCCCATTTGCTGGTGGGGTGGGGTGAGAAACAGAAAAGGCCTTGACTTTGTGTAAGCACTTCTTATCAAAATCAAAAATATCCCTGAATTAGCAACACTGTTTCCAGCACAAATCCATTATTTAGCCCATACCAGCTACTATGAAGAAAATTACCCTTTTCCAGCCAAAACCAGCACACTTAGTGACACAGGTACACAGACACAGAAGCTTTTCAGCTAGGCTTGAAAACATGTTCTTGACCTGATTCATTTCACAGCATCACAGAATAGCCTGGGTTAGAAGAGACCTCAAAGATCATCCAGTTCCAACCCCACTTCCACAGGCAGGGACACCTTCCACTAGCCCAGGTTGCTCAAAACTCCATCCAGTCTGGCCTTGAACACTTTCAGGGATGGACATCTATGACTTCCCTGGGCAAAGTGTTCCAGTGCCACACCACCCTTGAAGTAAAGAATTTATTCCAAATATCTAATTTAAATCTACTGTCTTTCAGTTTGAAGCCATTCCACCTTGTTCTGTCGCTACACACTCTCATAAAAAATCTCTCTCCAGCTTTCCTGTAGGTTCCCTCCAGGTACAGCAAGGTGCCTTGAAGTCTTCTCTTTTCCAGGCTGAACAGCTCCAATTCCCTGAGTGTGTCTTCATAGGAGAGGTGCTCCAGCCATCTGCTCACCTTCTCTGGACTCGCTTTAACAGATCCACATCCTTCTTGTTCTGGGGACCCCAGACCTGGATGCAGTACTGCAGGTGCAGTCTCACCTTTGACCTGCTGGCCACGCTGCTCTGGATGCAGCCTGGGATACATTTGCATTTCTGGGCTGGGAGCGCGCATAACCAGGTCATATTGTGCTTGTCCAAGTCCTTCCTCCCGGGCTGGCTGCTCTTGATCCACCCCCTGCCTAACCTTTGGTTGGATTTCCCTGCAGGACCTTGTACGTAGCCTCACTGAACTTCATGAGGTTCACAGCTCATGCAAGTCACACTGGTAGTGAAGAATGTTGAGACCAGCCTGACTCAGCAATCCCAAAACTGAACATTCAGAAGAAGAACAATGTTTCCCGACAGAATCTGGTACCTCTGAGGATGTGGCAGAGTTCCTGATAAAGGAGCCAACAAGTGATAGTACTAATAATGTAGTCTGGAGACATGTGGCTCAAAGTCAATAACTTTGTACTCTAAAAGCTCAGTCCCTCTTTTTAATGGCCAGGTTTTCTAACATACCCCTTCTCAGACTCTGAGGGGAGGTTCCTCCCTTGGGTAGGGACACCCCTCAAGGTTAATCCTCAAGCCTGAGCAAGAGATTTGCCCACAGGCATTGTATGAGTGAGTAACATCAATTTCCATAATTATTTTGCTAGCTTTAATATAATTGTTTCAATATTGCTTCAATGCATAGTGCACTATACTAGTAGTTAAAGCTACCTGTACTGTGCAGTAAATAATTCTGATTAAGGTATTTTAATATTTTCATCATCATAATAAATTAAAATTCCTATCTATTTTATTCATATAAATATGTTTGGTTTGCCATCTTTAATCCTGTGGGACAATGCGGTATTCATATGTCCTCTGAACAAAGAGACTTAGCTTTCTCAGGATTTCTCCTGAGAGAAGCTGTGAGAGAAGCAGAGAAAAGAATGACCAAAACAATTCTTATCTTGCTGCTGCTGGTTGTTGTGCACATGTGGAATGGAGATTGTTTACTCAAGGTGATTTCTTAATTGGATACTGGTGATGGTGTTTTGGATTGATTGACCAATTGGGTCACAGCTATGTCGGGACTCTCAGCAGCCAGAGTCAGGGGTTTTCTAGTTAGTGATAGTGCTTGTTAGTTAGTAATAGAGGGTAATACAGTTATAGTATAATATAGTATAATAAAGTAATTAATTAGCCTTCTGATATCAGGGAGTTCTGCGCATCATTCTTCCCGCTGGTCAGACACTGTGTTTACAATATGACAAAGTTGTATAAAGGCTCAATTACACCTATATAATACTTCAGAAATAAACCATTGAAAGCCTGGGACTAGGATAGGATCCAGCTGCACCCAGACTCCTTTTTGAGAAGGAGTTTAAAAAGCAAGAGGCTCCTTTCTACACCTTGTGACTCAACAGAGCAGGGAGTCTCCCCAGTAAACTTTGTCTGAAGCTCCCATTCTGCCCCTGACACTCTTACAACTACCTTTAATTAAATAACACAATTATTTTGTTATCTGATTCTAAAAGCATTTTCTATGGAAGATTACCAGCATGTAGCATTGTGAATGACTCAGCATAAATATCTGAGCCATTTATCATTATTAGTTTTTTTTTTAAAAAGCAATCTATACTAGAATACTTAGAGAAGCATCCATAATTTTCCAAGTTTTAAATAACATATGTGATATTTACATTCCCTTTAGAAAAGACAATGGCACTTTCTCACCTTTGTTACCTTCAGAGAGTTTACATTATCAAGAACCCACTATCAGCAATTACTTATGCATTTTAAGTAACAGTTTTGCATTTCTGCTCCAGTTTTGCCAAAACTAAAAGACACAGCTCAAATGTATCTGTTTTCCAGTGACATCTATTATTGCCTTCTTTCATTTATTCAGTGAACCAGCTGTGTTGACTGATGTCTGAGAAATCAAGTTCAGTCACAGAATAATTCCATTGTAGTCAATTTAGTTGCAGCAAAGACCAATTTGACCCATGGATTTCCACATATTGTAAAAGGTCATGGAGCCTGTCAGTAGTTCAGACAGGGTTTAAATAGAGGATCCTCCTGAATCCCAATTCAAATGAGACTCTTTTGACATCATCATCACATCTACATAGTCAGACTGACATTTTGTCACTCAGAGCACTGCTTATCTGTTGCCACACCAAAAAGTGACTGTCATGGCTTCAGCCACTTGCCCTCATTCTTTATTTTCATTAATTTATAACTCTCTCTGTTCAGTGCAGCTGTTAAAAGCAATGTGGATTTCCTTTCTCTCTCCCTCCTGGGAGCTGTGGATGAAGAAGAGGTTTCAGGCACATTTCAGGAGGGCAGTAGCAGGGTACTGACCTCAGCCTGGGAACCCAGCAGTTTCATTAGTGCCAGAGCAGTAGCTTGGCAGATGAAAGCAGCTCCATGTAGCACAGAGCAGCCTGCATGGGATGCTGACAGTTACAATAATACTCCAATTATGAAAGACCCTCACTGAATGTAGTGGTTTGGACAATGTGATTTATTGAATCCCCATCTAGTCCTGCATATGTATGATTCTTGTATAATAAAGGTAAAAAAAGTTTTATAGAGGCAAGGAAAAGAATGATCATCATTCTGAATATCTACAAGGAATCACAAGAAAGCTCTGACTTACCTCATTTTATAATTCTTTATTTTAATTCTCCTTATTTATGATTATTTCCATAGAGTAACTTTATATGACTTAAAAAGTAGTTATTTTTTCTTGTTTTTCCTTTTCACAATGTATTTTTCATTGTAATACAAACCCTAACTTATTTGAAATTATTCATAATGTCTGTTACAATGCCATCATTATATTTCACATAAAAGAAAACGTGCTTTTGAGCATTACCTGTAACTCAGAAGTTCCTTCTCTACAGTCCTTGAATTGCTCAAATTCTTTATCCTGTAAGAGATTTGGACTTGTAATTGTAAACATAACATTTACAGTAATTTCATTATTATATCTTTATTATATATAAATTTTGTACATAATTCAATGTAATGTTTTGATTAAACATTGCTGTGAAGCATTTTGTACCTACATGTGTGTATATCTATATACACACACATATATATATGAGCTGGTTGTGTAGCCCTCTTTCATCCAACATCCCTAACGTCCAACATGACTTGAAATTCTGCTTGCCTCTACCTGCAACAGGTGCCAAAATAATTTCCCCCCTCAAGTTCCCTCCTGAAGAGGGTGGATACCATAAGGGTGGTTACTTCTGCACATGGTATTAGAAGGGCAAGGTTAGGCTTTCTGGTTATGTCCCAATACGAGCCAATTTTGCCAGAGAGGCTTTTACTAGCTTAGTAGCAGTTCTTTTGATGCTAAATTTCTATGCTAGTAAAAATTTCTGTATAGTCAATATTAGAGTGGTGAAATTTTCTTTCCCAGGATAGTTTATTTCACTCAGATATCCACCATAAACTGTTCCAGCAAGTGTGGGGATTTTTCTGCAATAAACTGCATCTGCACCACAACAGTAAACATTGCCCAGTATATAGCAAATCTCAGCCAAAAGGGATTTTGAAGTGTGACTTGATATTCTAGGATGGAGTGAGAGATAGCATAACATTTTTACTCTGCCATCTAGAAGGATTTTCAATTAAGTTCCGACAGTTCAGTTATAAAGCTATAACATTTTAACTGTAAGAATTTATATTTTCTTCTTGCTTTAGATTGTGCTTCAGTTACTGGCCAAGACAATGAGTATCTTGCTCTGACACAGCTTATGTCAACCAACTAAATTAGACTTTGTGAAAAAGGCTACACTTGAGAGATCAAAACAAAACACCGATAAACTTCAGTTGTGAAGGTGGTTAAACCTTTCGTCAAGAGAAATTTTATAATCAAGTTAGTCAAGCTGTCCTGCCCATGATTAATGTACTATCTCCAAGGGAAAGACACCACTGCATATAAAATTAATGAAATACTAACCGTGCGATTCTAATTAAGATACAGGTTGTTGCATTAAGAAAATTAAGTTAGTTTAAGGAACTTATCCTTCAAGTAGTTAATGAAATGGTATACCCCAAAAATTTCAATAAAAAAATGATTGTTTCAGCTGTTAAATTTCATTGTGAGGAAAAAGAAATGCACTGACCCCTAAATAACCCCAGACTCCTAACGCTTAGTATTTGTGCCTCTCTGCTGTACAAAGAAGCTTTCATAACTTTTCTACTTTCATAAACAGAGAACAATATATAGGGTCAGTCTGAGTAGTTAAAGTGCATGAGTAATCAGGAGTACATGCCACTGATGGAAACAAAATTATTAAATCTCCATTTCTTAAGACAAGATGCCAAGCAAAAACTCTTACCTCATGCACAGATGGCTGGAACCTTCCCATCTGTTAGTAACTTCTGGCTTCCAACCCCTGCAGGATCCTAACATCAGTCCTCTAAACATATTAACATGTCTGGGGAGTACTAAGAGTCAGAGAGATCCTTGTTCTGGGTTTACACAACTACTTCAGCACAGATATTCCCTTGGGACTTTTCCTCAGTTTAGATGTGTTTGTGTGCATAAGACATTGAAAAATCAAAACCCACCAAAGAAGCCATACTAGACTGAGATCTCACCTGGCTCCAGGGAATACTGAAGCAGGAAACTAGTTTAAAATCCTGGTTCTGTTGAACAGCACTTCAGGAGTGGAATTTTCTCATGTTGTGCATGCTGGTGTGGCACAGTTGGTAATACACTGATATACTTCCAGCAGTATCAGATGTTACTCAAAGAACAAAACAGTATCATTCTTCACCAGGCATGTTTCCTTTCAAGTTGAAAATTGCATGCTGCACAGATACCAGGTGCATTTACTTACAGTCTCCAACCATTGACACCTGTATTTGTAATACAGACAATATGCATTTACTACAGCAGAGCCTCCCAAGCTGTGACTTTTGTAGCACTGGTGATACACAAACTATTTCCACAGCACATGTGGAGCCAGGGCTACCTACTAGGAGATACTCAGCTGAAGTGTAGGGTGGGCACCCCAAATCTGGTACTGTTGGCAATCAGCTACTACCAGCATGGAGGAACTTACCTAGTGGCTTACATAGATTTTTATACATAGGCATTAATTGTTACTAGTAACTGTTAATGGTCATTGATCAGAACAGCTTTATCATCTAAATCATTCAGGACATCTTAGACTCCATAAAGTAACAGTAGAATTAACTTCAATCAATATTGGTTTGTGTTCAATAATTATGATTAGGACTCATTGCTACAAGGCCAGCTTAGCATTAGATATAGTGGTAGAGGAAATAATCAGGAAATATTAGGCAAGAAGGAGCAGAAGTAAGAAATAAATTAGGAATTCCCACTGGCAAAGGTCCAAGTGGGAAATAACCAGTAAATATCTGTATCAATATGTAAAGAATATAGAAAACAGATTACTCATACAGAACAAGGTAGCTTGATAGTTTTATCATTCCTTACCTTAAGGAAACTAAGAGAATAACAAATAACATAAAAGTAAGGCCCATATGTCTAGTCTCTCAAGACATGCATTGAGAACTTTGGCCTTGAACATAGTTAGGATTTCTTTACAAATGAACCATACATCCAGACCTGAACTTCAAGATAAAATGTACATAAACGTGTTATCAGAGCTCCAGATAGTCTTAGATTTCATATTGCTGCTAGATAATACAGGGTGTTTTTCACATCACACCTGCATAGCTTCGTTCTTTGCCATTCCTTGTCCTTAAGGAAGTAAGGAAATATTTTACAAATACACATTTATTTCTGAGAACCCAATTTCTCTGAGCTGGATGCCTCAAAATACCTCAATTCTCAGCTCATAGCCTGGAAACTTCTGTCAGATGGGAGCAGGGAAGTGACTTGGACCCGAGTTTTACCTTCCCAAGGCCGTAGGAATACAGGCGCCTGCAGGGTGGGCACCTCCCGTGAGCGCCCCGGGCTGCCGGGACAACCGAGCCCCGCAAACTTTTCCCCGCAGCACCTGGTGGTCGGAGCATGCTCGTGCTCCCAAACGGGACTGCAGGCAGCACTTACTGCCCATCGCAGCCGGCCAGGAGCACAGCTCAGTACTTCCCTTCCGCCAGTGCCGAGGAGCAGCCCGGGCTTCCAGGGGCAGAACGCGCCAGCAGCTCTGACACTGTCCCGCCATGGCTCCGGGACTTCCCGTGCCCCTCAGGCACGGCCCCCGCCGCCATCTTGCTAGCGGCGCCGCTCCGCGGTGCGGAGCCGGGCCGTGTGCTGCCCTCTGCCCGCCGCGGTGCGGGGCCGGGCCGCGCGGTGCCCTCTGCCCGCCGCGGTGTGGGGCCGGGCCGGGCGGTGCCCCCTGCCCGCCGCGGTGTGGGGCCGGGCCGTGTGGTGCCCCCTGCCCGCCGCGGTGTGGGGCCGGGCCGTGTGGTGCCCCCTGCCCGCCGCGGTGTGGGGCCGGGCGCCGCGGAGCCCCGGCTCGCCATGGCGGGGCGCCGGGCGCTGTGGAGCGGCACCGTGCAGCTCGTCGCGCTGCCCTCGGCCGCCGGCTGGTCAGGTGGAACGCCGCAGCCGTACAACAGTTTCTACTGGACACCTTCAGAGCCGCCGCCGTGGAAGGGGTGGAGCGGCACCATGGAGGAGGAGGAGAAGGGGGACGAGACTCTTCAGGGGAGGCAGCAGCAGCCCGGGAGGTGAGCGGCGCTCCAGCGGCCGCAGCGCTCTGGGGCCGGGGCTCTCTGCCCCCGTGCCTTCCTGTGAGGAGGGGCAAAGCGGACCGAGCCGAGTGGCGGCTCCCGTCCCGTGCCCGTCCGGAGGGGAGGCACTGCCCGGGCTGCCGCCGTCAGAGCCCGGCTAGCGGCCGGAGGAGCAGAGCACCTGCTCCGAGCGCGGCAGCGGGGCTCTCCAGACACACACACGGTACCGGGGCTCCGCCGGTGAGTGTGGGGAGACCGGGCTGAGCCGCTGCGGGGGCAGTGGGAGCGGGGTGGAGCGGGCGCGGGCACCCGCTCGGAAAAGTTCGCGGGTGGGAGGGCGAGGTGCGTGGGGCCGGCGAGCCCGGCTCCCGGCCGGGCAGGAGCGGCACAGCCCGGCTGCCCCGGAGCCCGGGCGGGAGCGGCACAGCCCGGCTGCCCCCGGAGCCCGGGCAGGAGCGGCACAGCGCGGCTGCCCCCGGAGCCCGGGCGGGAGCGGCACAGCCCGGCTGCCCGCGGAGCCCGGGCGGGAGCGGCACAGCGCGGCTGCCCCCGGAGCCCGGTGTGTGCCTCTGCCCCGCTCCCTGCCTGCCGCCCCGGCTGGCCACAGACCCGACGGGCGCCGGCTCCAAACCCAGCTGCGTCCGTGGGGATCCTTTCGCACCGATGAAAGAAACCCTGCGAGAAAAAATGTCCTGCGTTCGCTGCCAGCGCAGAGCTTTCGGTTCTGTCAATTGACAGTAAAACATGCTGCAGCAGCGCTCGGAAAGAAACAAGTTATATAATCGCAAAAAAAAAAAAAAAAATCCGCTTCATAGTGTCGGCGGCTTGTAGAATGTTTTCTATTGAACAGATGTTTCTGTTCGCATTGTATAGTGTGAAGTGGAGGATATTAAGGAGGTCATTTAATATAATTAGTGCAGTCAAATAATCTCAATGATCGTCAATTATCTCTAGCTAGCAAGGATTTGGGGAAAGTGTCGACTGCATGCAGTAAAATTCATGAACTTATGCAGAAATGTTTTTTTTTTCTGGCGACAATTACGATTTCTTTCATTTGCTAAATGGTGATTATGAAGAAAGTTATAGTTTTAAAGGCAAGTACTATTTGTATTTAAGTATTTTTTCTTTAATTCTCAAACTGCACCGACTAAAGTGGCATCAAAATTAAAGATAGTGACAGGAAAACCACTTCAGTTTTCTGGCAAAAAACATTGAAAAGAGGGTGGGTTTTTTTTTTTTAATTCATAGTAGTAGCTGTATCAGTTAAGACAGTAGGAAGCTTATCTTATTTTGTAGATAACATTTTGAGGAAGACAAGAATATGATTATTTTTTCTTATTAATTCAAGAATTATTACAACAGTGGCTTTCAAAATACCCCAAGTTATCTCAAGCTGCAATATCTATTATAAAAAATAATGGGAATTTTTCATATCTGGAGGTTGGAATGCCCTATTTGATTCCATTGTGGATGATGGAGAGTTGTTTTTGGGAGAGGAGGGAAGTAAGGGATGACAGTGAAACTGTTCAAATAGAAATAACAGTTATTCAGCTTCTGCTTGGCCTCAAGTCAAGAGATGTCAAGCCTTTTTAAGAGGAAGCAATCCACTATTATAGTTTTATTCACTTGCAGTAACTAAGTAGATTTGAGGAACAACCAGAAGAAATATGCTATTTCCTCAGCCTTTATAAGCTCAAGATTGATCCGAAACTGTTAATTTTTCATTCAGAAATAGCTTTTAAGTTCTTTTCAGCAAAAAGAAAGTAAATTATTTTGTCTGTGATGAGAAAAACAGAAATACTGCTATGTTAGTTAAGGTCTTTATATGTAACACCTGCAGTGAAATTAGTTTTTCTTTTTGTCACATCTGTGAATCCTTTCCTGATCTCCCTTTAATGTCTTCCAGTGAATACACTGGAAGCTTGAACTTTATAGGTTGCTACTTCTAATACATTCAGAGCCAGGACCATGGAAAAATCACTTGATCCCCTTGTGCTTAAAGATTGGAGCAAAAAGGATTTTTCTGTAAACTAAATGTTGCACTTAGTTTAAAAAATCTTATAAAATCTAGGAAAGAAGTTGTGTGTTATATACTCTTGGCATGTAACATCTTGGTGTTTAGAAGCTGTACAAGAAAGGCATCGTTTTGGGTTTGAATAGCCTACAACAGGCAGATAAACCTGGTAAAGCTGTTTAGGAAGGCGAACGGGGCATTGCCATCTGACACTGTGAAAACACTGCTGCCATCGTGGCCCTACTGGGAAAAACAAAGTTTGATAAGATGTGTGAGTGAAAAATTGGGTGTTAAAGAATTTCTGTCAAGAGTTACTTCTTCTGTAAGACCTGTTGGAGCTGGAAGTTCTACTGCCTGGTGAGTAAGGCTTATGATATGACAACAGGTTTTATTGCTTCAAATATTTGGAAATATTTTTGTTGTGCTTTGAACTGGTTTTTGTGGGAAGGTTTCAGTGATATTCAACTGTTTCTGATAAGAATGTGGCAACAGCAAGGTCTTTGTGTGTCTATTTTGATGTGTTTACTTGAAACACTTTGTCTCCTTAAAACACCTATGCATTTAGGATGGTGCCTTGAAAATTAGTAGATGGCTCGTGTTTGTGTTGGAAGTATGCCTTGACTCTTCCTTAAGAAATAAAACCCAAACCACACGACTTCTAGTATTAACACTTCTGTTGTTGACTAACAACCAAAACACTTTGCATTTCATTTAGAGTACAGGAACACATTGTAATCTAAAGTTGTGGGGATGGAATCAAAGGCCCTTTATATATAGGAAAAAAGGGTGTGATGAAAAACATTTATGTATCATCATGGTGTTTCCAGTTTCCTTCAGTATGGATGTTTTGCTGTGTGTCTGTGCTGTTCCTTGGACTTTCTTCTTAAAATGGGTCTGTTTCAGTTAAAGAATTATAAGGGTGCTGTACTGGATGTGTTTTCTGGCTTTCTGGTATGAAGTTTGGATGTTCAAAACTTTCATTATTTGGAAAAGCTGGCGACCTTTTGGCTTAACTCGTTTTAAAGTTGGCCTTTGAACAGGTGCATTGAAGAAAAGCATCTATTAAAAAAAAAAATCACTTCCTAATCTTAGCCCAACTGGAAATTATTTGATTGTATTTCAATAAATTTAAATTCAAATGTTATAAATAGTTCTGTAAAATCCATATATGTATGGGGTGCATGTAAATGCATAGAAGGAGAGAGAGAGAATGTTGTTAGGACAAGCAAAAGTTTATTTTTTATTGAAAATCAAGTAGAATAGAAAGAATTTAGGGATGTATTTTCATACATCCCTACAATTTAGGGAAATTACATTGGACCCAATGTGCCTGTACCTTGAACTGAAAAGAGGGAATCAAAATAGACAAGCTTTTAAATATGAATATAAATAAAATTCTATGACTGTCTATTAACTTAAAAATAAAATGGAGTTCTTGGGTGTTGCTGCACTTCCTGGACAACAGAGGTTTTATAGGGTTTTAAAGGATTATTTTTGGTGTGAGTCTAGAGGAAGTTTGCATAGGTGTTCCTTTCTGGCATGGGGTGACAAGGAAAAAGAAAATTATAAGGCTTAGCAAATGAGGTGGAGATAGCAATTGCACACATAAAAGTGCTGGAGTCAATAGTAAATGAACTTTAGATCCTACTTTCCCTTGTGGATCCTATGCATCAAAGCTTTAACAAGATTTTTGTTCATTTTTATGGAAACAGTTCTTACATTGCCTCTCTAACCACGTGCTACAAAATAAATCAATTTTCTCCCACAGCAAGTTGGAGCCTTAATTTCATTATGTTCAATAGCATTTGGGTTTAATCATATCTAATTGACATTAAGATGTTAGATGGAAAACCTTTACCATTAGGATGGAGTGTGAGCTTGTAATATTTTAACTCTTTTTTTAGTTAAGAAAAATGTATGCTAAGAGCTTCAATGGCATCATAACTTAAAATGCAAACTCCAACATGTAGAGGCTGTTAACACACAGGAGTGGCTAAAATATGTTTTTAAATGCTCAACTTCAAAGTTTGACATTTTTTTCTAACAGTAAACTCCATCCTGGCAAGGTATGCCTCTGTCATTAACTGGAGTCACATCAGTAACCAACTGAAACTAATGAACTGCTCGTTTCCATAAATAGTTACACCAGTGCAGCTGGTGCCAGAACGTTAAAGCTGGGCTCTGGATCCTATAGTTGGGTTGGTACAAGTTTTATGTTTGCTCTTTTGGAAAAATTTCTTTATTGAAATTCTGTCTAACTATGAAGGGCCATCCATGGAGATTGCACTTGCTGCTGGAATCCATGACTTATCTGTACACCTGTGCACTATGCTATCTGCACTTATTTTTCTGTTGATTTACAAATTGTTTTCATTTCATTTATGACCTGGGTATTGTCTAGTGTACCATAACACAGCTGTAATGCACAAACCTTGCTTGTGTGTGTCAGCCTCAGTCCTGCAGAGCAGGTAAGAAAACTTTGATTCCAGCTCTTGTTCTTTCAACATTCTTCTCTATAAATTAACTAGTCTTATGAAACTAGTTGTTAGGAGAGAGCAAAGGAAAGCAATTTCCTTTCTGGTGTAGGGAGATTTGACTCCAGCTTCCCTTTGGTGACTGCTTCAGCAACAGCACAGAATTATACTGCTCTTGTGCTTAATCATAATGATAGTCTAGGCTGCTCTTTCAGATGTGATGGCCACAAGCCAACTTTTGGGTTCCTTTATTCAAGATTTGAGTAAAAGATGAGGGTAGAGAGGAAAAGAATTCATTTTAAAGGCCTATATCACTAAAGAAATTGGCTCCTAGGTGTGCCATCTCTGTTCTGCTGTGTGTCGCCTATGGTCAGCTACTGTCATATAAGGGATCACAACCTAAACAGAATATGCATGTAACAAAAATGTTCTGTCATATTATCTACAGATCATAGACATGTTGGGGACTACAGAATGCTCATGTTTGACAGGGACAATCAGCTGGGGCA